TCTTCCTACGTCCAGTTTGATCGTAGACCTTTAATCTCGTGACTCGTATGCAATAGGAGTCATCTTCTTAAAGAGAACCTGAGTACTAAATTTGATGTCTGTCAAGCAAAATTTTTTTAAGAAATAGAGCGGTCAATTTATTTCTATGTCAGGTTTGACCCTTGACTTTTGATCTTGTGATCTCAAAATCTGTAGTGGTCATCTACTCTTCAGTGAGTACCAAAATACAGTGGTCATCTACCCTAAATGGGAACCAGTGTACCAAGTTTGTTGTCTGTAAAGCAAAGACTTCTTATAAATATAGCGATCATTATATTCCTTTATCCATTTTGACCCTTGGCCTTTCACTTTCTGACCTAAAAATCAATAGAGGTCATAAACCCAGTTGATGTCTGTCAAGCAAATGGTTCACAGGATTTTGAACGAATTTCTTCCAATGTCCAGAGTAGTTTGCTTTGAGTTTTGACCTTGTGACTTTGAAATTAAGTTTATCTACTCTTCAGGGGATACCACTATTCCAAGTTTAATGTCTGTACATGTCAAGCAAAGAATTCTCAAGATATCGAGCAGACACCACTTGGTTTGGCGCAGGATTTGATCTCAGCATCATCGAATTTTATTTTTATACCATTGCAATGACAAAAGAGATTTGGGGCCCGATGAAAAGAGTCTCACATACAGTCCCTGAAACGTTCTACTTTCCCATTTTTCCGTTCGCTCACCGTTCGTTCACCGTGCGTTCACCGTGCGTTCACCGTTCGCTCTCCGTTCACAGTTTTGCGTTCAGCGTTCACCGTGCGCTCAAGTTCACCGTTCACGAAGCGTTCACCGTTCGCTCTTCGTTCGTTCACTTTGCGTTCACCTTGCGTTCAGCGTTCACTTATCGTTCAGTCTCCAGTGTCATTCGGAACTCCGAAGTGAAAGGACTTATCTTTTTTATGTAAGGATTTACAGGTTTTGAATTTAATAAATAACATACCGTGTTTAAAGAATCATTATTTCATGGGAAAAAAATTATCTACAATATTTATTTTTATTATTCTAATTTAGCTGTTAGGTTATTTATAAAATTTATCTGGAAAATAAATGTCGTTATAAGTGCATGTATGTACCTATGTAGAACGATGCTGAAAAATTAAATTTAAATACGGGCAAAATAGTGATACTTCAAGCACTGCAACATTTTGTTGTTATGTTAAAGACGACAAATCGTTAATGGATAGATAATAATCGAAGTCAATTAATTCACCAACTGTAGCAAAAATACGAAAATATTTATTTCTATCACATTTTTTTTTCAAATAATACAGAAATACATGTTAGAACTTGTTCTGAGAATGATAAACAGTACTGCGGATATCCAATTAATTAAATATCTTTAGAGCGAATTAAATTGATAGTGTGGTTAAAAAAAATATTTGTTTAAAATGTTATACATTAAAGAATTTTTTTCTACTTTACATATATAAAGTCTTTAATTAGTGAGAGAGAAATGCCTTTATAACATGATTATCATTTATATAACCAAGGTGATTCTCCAGTAATGATATTTTTCACCGTAACTTTATATGTTTGTCATTCAATATTATTAAGAGCCCCCCCCCCCCCTCCTTTCCCCTAAATCGATTACTTAGTTAGTATTTCCAGTATATTTTAATTAACATTTAAAAAGAAGTTAATGCGTTTTGTAGCACAAAAATTTCAGTCTCAAAACAAACAGGCATCTAAACAGAGTCATTAAACAATAGTAGTTCAAAATATACATGTGCCGGCGGTGATATTTTAAATTGGCAGGGAGTATGTTTCAAATTCAAGAGGCTTAATTATTCCAAGTATTTATTCCTAATGTATTTTATTCATTTATTTATTTATCTATTTTTTAGAAATGTTGGAATCAGATCTAGAAATAATAAGAAAAATGTTCAGTAAAACTTCTTGGAAATACTAACACTTTGCCTTCGGTGTGACGAGATTTTCACACCTGCACAGTGTCGAATGATTTTGATTGACAGGTCAAGCACGTGGACTTCGTGTGAACTTGAAGCAGGAAAATATAAACCGATTATGATTGTAAAACAAATGGATTTGTTGATAAAAAATGGTTACTTTCACTGCCTGATATATTTAGAAAAAATTTAGAATTTTTGTTTGATATAGGTACAAACATTTGAGGAAGGGGGGGGGCTAAAACCGAATCTCTCTCTCTCTCTCTCTCATTTGTCTATTTAATAAAAACAATGACAGCATATTACTTAAATATCAAATTGTGAAAATTTAATATATAACAAATAATATGACTGCCTCTTTGTATCATCTTCTCCGAGTATAATCACGGCCGGGAAATGTCTACAGATAGATGTAGAAGTCTGCTCAATAAATCATCATAAAAAATAAAACTGACACATAAATATATTATTGCATTAAAATTTTAAACTACGAGTGTATTTATGCAATACGTCCACATACCTTTGTAAAATATTTTTTTCTCATTATTTTACACGGAATCGCCTTGTATGGTTGTTACAACCTTTGTAATTCATTCTGTAAGTCCGTAGTTTTCTCTTCTAAAATCCACATTATTTGTAATGGTTTTATATATCAAATAAGAATAAACATATTTGTTTTACAACTAGATTAATTTCATCTGTTATACTACAGCGTTCGGTAACAATTACAATGTTTTACAGCGACAAAAATCGTATTATCAAAAAGTTGAATTTAAACATCGTACATATGTGCAGAAAATATTGTAAGAAACTTAAATTAATAATTTTACTTAATGTGCATTTATCATCTTTCTTAGGACAATTTTCATTGATTTGTTTATTTATTTATTTTTTATTTATTTTTTTAGCACCAGGCATTCGAATACAATAGAATAGTTACAATGCAAGGAAAAGATCAGAGGCATTCCGAATAAATCGTTCATCTTGCGTTCACCGTTCGTTCACCGTTCACTTTGCGCTCGCGTTTGCGCTCCGTTCGCGTTGTGCGTTCGCTCACCGTTCAGCGTTCACACATCGTTCACCAAGTTGCGTTCAGCGTTCACACTTCGTTCACTCTGCGTTCGTTCAGCGTTCGTTCACCGTTCGTTCAGCGTTCGCTCACCGTTCAAGTGGGAAAGTAGAACGTTTCAGGGACTGTATTAAGACTATAAGACGGCCGTCAAGTACACATGGGATCGTCAGAGTTGACTACTTTGCAAACAATTTTGAGAGTACTAGTGGAAATTTTTAGCAAGTTTCCATATCTATTTCAATGTTAACCATTCGAATATTTGTAAAAGTGTTTGGCTGGTTTTCTTCTAGTGACTATTCCTGTTTTGAAGCATTTCAGCATAGTAAGGGTTTATTTCTAATCTCATCCAGCGGATTCATCTGTTGACAGTAAACGTATTCATCAGTCTTAAGGACAGATGATATAAACAGAAAATGGATGCCTGGATTGGTACATATTTTTGGAGTTTTTGGTCGTAAATGATGAGAAAATCAAATTTCAAAAAATATTAAGAAATTGTAAAATCTCAATGATCTTCAAAATTCTACCTTTGTGAAATCATCCTTATAAATCTAGATACAACTTTTTATCCCTTTAAAGGACATTATTGTGAAAATTTGAATTAAAAAAAATGTACGAGGGTTGTTCGGAAAGTTCGTGGACTACCGTCATAACTTTTTTACTTCACGTCATATTATATCCAAATTTGGAAGAAATATTTCAACAGTAAATTCAAATGATGTGTATTAAAAAAAAATTAAAATATCGTGGTTTATTTCAAAATTATTTAGACTTAAAAAATGCGAAAATCGGATCACGGAGCAGGTAAAAATTTCGTAATTTACAATCAAGACACTAAATAATGTCTGAAGTCATCTCTTCTGTAAAATTATACAAAACGGAAAAATTCTATACATTCAAATTAAGAATTGTTTCATCGTTTCTCATTCCAAATTATGACTTAATATTTTGCTTCGTTGAAAAGAAATCAGTTTCAGAAGATAGGCAGCCCTCATTGAAAAGAGTAAAAAAAAGATGACGTCGTAGAACGTCACGGAGCAGCAGCTAACCATACAATTTTGTGTTGTATTCTGGAAAACTCCAGAAAAAACTGAAATTCAAAATGCTGGAGGAAGTAGGAAATATGTCAAAAGCGAGCCATGCATGTGTGCATGTACATGGTACAAGCGGTATTTGAATGATAGACTCTGCTTAGACGATGGTGATCTGTAAGAAAACGGATTATCTGTAAAATTCTTATCAAAAACATTGAAAAGTTAGTAACGTCATGCCATGTATAGGGATAGTATTTTTGAGAAGCTCATGTCGGTATGTTTTTGACGTTACAGTGTTGTTGAGTTTGCTCCGTGGTTACAAAACGTGTTGATTTTAAAATTAAATAACAACATGAATTCTATTAAATCACATGGAATAAAACTTCACACTTAAACAAAATAAATATTTTTACATATGATAATATGCTCATTTTAAATTTCTTGAAGATGGTATAACGAAGATTGGCATAGTCCACGAACTTTCCGAACAACCTTCGTATGCGATTAAACTTATTCATTTTACTTGTATAAACATGACTTTAGTTCTTATTTTCATGATGTTTGAAAAAAAAAGTTTATATCATCTGTCCTTAAGCAGAGATTTTTTAAAAAAATTTGTACAATTCCAATTAGAAAAGCCAAACGCTTCCATCACAGACTTCTTGAGGATAATGTATGCTTGAAAAATCACTTGCATGACAAATAAGGCTCTTATTCTTTAACTAAACTAAATCTATGTCTCAGAAAAATCCACGCAAATTTCCAAGATAACATCATTTGGAAAACACATTCTTGGGTATGGTAATAAATTTCCAAACAGCTAATCAAAATTTCAGCTTGCAGGAAAAACACTTATTTTTTTTAATGCTGTAAGAATTGTGAAAATTTTGCCCAATGCCGAGTGCTTTATAACGAGTGGTTATCGTAATATACCGAATAAAACAGCTTTTCACTCGAAAGAGAGGCAATTGCTAAAGAGATGGGAGCTGTAGTTTTACTATGTTTCGTATTTTCCATGCTTATTAACAAATCTTGTGGACAGTTATCTTTGCTCCAAAACAAAACCTCAGATAAAAATGGACTGTTGCTTAGTACTGTAACAGGTAAATTACCAAAAATGTTACGAGACATTCTGAAACGGGAATCCTTGGAACGCTTCTCTATGTTACAGAAGATACAGAGTTTGGAAAGGAAGGACCAGGGAATGGAAGCAGAGAATGCAAAACTTAAAAGAGAATTGATTAAGATGAATGAGACTTTACAACAGGAATTCGGAGCAAATAATGATGTCAATCTTCTTGCTGCAACACTGGAAACTGCTCTTGGAGTTCTGAATGAATCAAGTTTGCAGTGGACAGTGATTTCTAAACTGTTGACAGGTAAGTAAAGGCCGGTTTACACGATAGTCGTATATTCCACGTGTTCGAATATAGAGCGTTTCTATTCTGTACAGCAAGTCGTATGAGACATTCTTTCTCTGGCCAATCAGTGGCCTGGGATTTGGGTGATCTATTTGTGCTTCACTGACCACTTCAATTTTTTAAAAGAATACTTCAACCTTTTTATACGTGTACATGTACATGGTTTAAGACTTGTTCAAATTCAAAATGTAAATCATTTTTTTTTTTACATTTTCGCTGAAAAAAAAAAGAAACAAATCGTATAAAATAATAAAGAGTGAATATCAATATTTCAATGCTGAATCCTTAGTTTAAATGGATGTCTTAAAGATCCATCCAATAAAATTTTGGTGAAGCATTCCTCGATAAAGGTATTTCAAATAGACGATTAATTTTATATTAAAATGGCCAAAACGCAGTGTAAGAGCAAATCGTTATGCTGGTGAAATTGAATTTCTCATTAATGTGTTTCTCTTCTTTATAAATGGGGATACTCCGTCCAGAAGATCATCAAAATTTGCCGTATCTTTTCGCAGAAAGTTTCTAGAAAATTTAATTAAAAATAGGTAGTGGTAAGTTCTTTAACATGAGCATGGTATGCACCATAGTTGTCTCTCCTCCCGATCCATTGTCTGACCCATGGGCTTCCTCTAAATCTTCTTTACTGGTACAAATGCAGTGCAAATTAAATGAAATTATCAAAATGCACAGTAAAATAATTATCTTCCTCTTCCTGTGCTTCCATGTTGACAAAATAAAAAAAACTGTACTTCTTCGAAGGGGCGTTTTGTTTGTTTAAGAGGGCTGGGTGGTCGTGACCATTTTTAGACTATATTGATCTCCTTTAGAAGAAGAGCTCCCTATAAAGATACACAAAATGATCAAATTTTAAAACTAAAATGTATGAATTTTTTCTTTGCCAAATGATAATTGACAGCTTAAGATATCATATCTAAAAAATAATTTATATCTGATGGTTAATTTGTTGACCCCCAGCCTCTTTAAATAAGATTAGAGAGGAATGTAAACCTGTTTGACCATGTAGACATGTGAGAAATATATTACAAAAGTCGTATACGACAAGTTTTATAAGACATTTATTACCGTGTAAGCCGGCCTTTAAGCTACACAAAAAATTCTCTCTCTCTCTCTCTCTCTCTCTCTCTCTCTCTCTCTCTCTCTCTCTGTGTGGGTGTGTGTGTGTGTGTGTGTGTGTGTGTCCAGACTATTTGATCTCCGCGAATCATCCATCCGACATCTTAGACATCATAGAAATAATCTGTTGATAGTGAAATGTATGTACATATATATCTGAAAATATGTTTTTTTTTAATCAGACAATACAGGGAACTATAGCGATTGCTGGGATATTTTACGGAAATATCCGAGTCTACAAGGAATTGATGGAATTTATGAAATAACTATAGCCTCCAAGACAAAGTTTGTGTACTGTGACATGACAACAGGAGGGGGAGGTTGGACGGTAAGATAAAAATGTCACACGTTTTATAAAGACAAAATCTTATTTCTTTAGAACTACAAATAGACCTACATTTTTAAACGCGGGTTTGTTAGTGAAACCTGCTACGCGTTAAAGCAAATCTAAGACAAACTTCGTAAATGTTTCAGGCGATACAAAGAAGACAGGACGGGTCTACAGATTTTTACAGGACGTGGTCAGAATATAAACACGGATTTGGGGATCCCTCTAAAAATTATTGGATTGGTAAGATTAGTTTAAGTCACATTTAAATTGTAAGTTGTCTTTTTAAATCGTATCGGATAGTTTATAAAAAAAACGTGGATATAATAATCAGGATTATTTTATTTTGCAGATGTTATCTAAACCATTTTTTATGATTATAAATAAAAAAACATACTATACTTTCTAAAAAAAAAATCAACAGCAACAACAAAACTAACCATCCAAACAAAAAAACAAACAAACAAAAAAAACAAACAAATAAAATAAAACAAAACAAAACCCAAAAAGAAAAGAAAAAAAAAACAAAAACAAAAGAGAAAGAAAAGAAAAATACAAAAAAAAAAAAAAAAAAAAAAACAAAACTGTATTTTGGAATTTTTTTTTTATAACTTTATCTCCATACTAAGGACCGATGGACGCATCGTAAATGGGAAATTCATTTAAATTAAATGTATGTAATTTTTCAAGTTTATTTTGAGTTCATTTTGTGCAAGTTTGATATAATTTCGATCAGAAATAAGATCATCCCAAAATTTCATCATGGTATAGAAATCCGATAACGACGGCAAAATGAATTTTGACGTCAATTTTGTGTGGCGCTGATGAGACCTCCCTTTAAGACCAAGCACATGATAAAACAAATCCAATGCAAAGGAAACATATTTAGGGTTTGGTTTTTCATTGTCATAAACATTTTTGCCAAACTTTTCATCCAGTGTGAAAGCAAAAGAGCCGAATGATCATCAATTTTTTAAGGAACATCAGCGTTCTAAAGTCCCCACAGCAGGATTCTAGTCAAACTGCACATGTAAATGACATATTATGGCAATTTTTGACATTGAGGTAGCATTTACACACAGATTTTTGACGAAAAATTTAAGAAAAGTTAGAGTTTAATTTCCAGAACGATATTAATTGATGACAGTAAAAATGAGTTAAAGCTTCCCGATCATTTCAATGTGGGAAAAAATCAACAGTTAAAGTGATGTTAAAACGACGCAGGGAAAATCTCTGCGGACTGCTCCAGGTCAATGGACATTTGCAATTGATGATTTCACCAGGACTTATCTAATGATGCTATTAAATAGAAATTTTGCACAATCGTTTTATTTGTTCTTGATATAATGTCGTCGTTTTTTCATGAATTGATCTTCTTCTTTAATAAAAAAAAATGTAAATGTCTCCATAATTTCGAACAGTCCTCGTGCTTGTAATAAATATGAAAGTTTTTAGTGAAGAAAACCAAAGTATTCAGCAAAGTAAATTAAAGAATCAAAGTGTTTACCTAATTATTAAGTATTAATACTATTTATCGATCAGAGATCTATATATAAATTGGGATCAGATTTTACGTAATGCATGTATACTGGAAACGAATTTTTTTTATTTTATAACTGCGGAGCCATGCTAGTCATATTGATATTGAAGCATACCCATATTGCATGGATTGAGAGACCCTTAAAATTAGGGTGGACCCATAATATGGGGTCACAATTTTTCGTTGGAATACAAAGGAGAAAATTATCTTTAAAATCTTCTTCAGAGCTTACTTAAGTGAACGTTATATGTGGACTATATGTCTCTTGTTGTAATTATACACTAAAGAATCAAAGAATTTCTTTTGAATAAGGTTCGTTCATTGTAAATAGAATCAGTCTTTGCATTTCTTACATTTACCAAACAGCTCATTCATAGTGTAAAAATGTTGTGTCTTAAGGCTCAGTTATGAATTATGGAAGCTCATATGATTAAAAATGTACGAGGGTTGTTCGATATGTAATGTGTATTGTTCGATATGTATTAAAAGCATTTGACTCAAATAGTGAAATGAATATTACATCCCTTCAAAGCATTCTCCTCGGTTTGAAATACATAATTTCAATCTCTGAATCCATTTGTGAAATGCGTCACGGTACGCTGATTTAGGTGGCCCTCTGAAGCACTGACTGATGGCTGAGTCAAGGGCTTCTTCGGACTTGTTACGACGACCAGATAAGAACTTTTTAATTTTTGGAAAAATGGAAAAAGTCGCATTGGGCTTGATCTGGAGAGTGTGGTGGGTGTGGCAAGACAGTAACCTTCTCCGACTTCAAAAATTGCTTCAGAAGCTCAGATGTACGGGGTGGGGGGGGGGGGAGGTCTGGACTCTCCTGGTATTATGAGTTATTGAATTTTGTAAATTAATTAAAAATAATGACCTTGAACAAGTTATTTACTTTTTTAAAAAGATTATTTTATTATTGTTATTTTTTTTCGCTTGTCAAAAATATTTGTTTGAGTGAGTATGGACCCCTCTCCCCCACCCCCTGGAAAAAAAACTTCCTGGGTCCGCCCATATAAATTAGTTTAGTTAATAAATATAATTAATCTGTGCTTTGGGGGGCGGGATATCATGAAACTTTTTCTTCGATAGAATAGAACAGATTTAAAGAAATATCATCTCTTTGAAAGTATGTATTCCCCTTAAAAAGCATAAAAAGTGTAATTTCTTATAAACTGCAAATAATTATATGCATTATAATTATATTTCTGTATGAATTCCTATTGGATTGTACACACATCTCTTAAATGACTAATGGAGATTTTACTTGAATGAAAAGATTTCCTATACAAAAAACTTCCTAGATAGAATAATACTGTACAATCTCTCATTTTCAAAGGATAAACTATTCTCGGATTAAGAAAAACGTATTGGTTTTCTAAGCAAGATATATATGAATATATTTTAAAATGAAATTCTCTTTCTTGATTAGAGAAGTACTAGAAAACGATTACCTTAATGAAAGCATTCTTTTCAACAAGTAATCCGGATTCTGTGTCCAACATAAGAATTCTTATTTCTTATACAAACGTATAAAATAGAAAAAAACCCAGACATATATGTAGAGGAGTATAAGTTGTTCATGTGGTACCTGTATTAAGTATAGAAGTGCTGTATTTAAACACTGATTTAAAATGTGGCAATTTTAAAATTGAGATGACGAAGATCATTTTAACAATCACGCGGTTAACATAAACAGTTAATAGGCTACACTTTACAATTAAAGAATATAACAGTGTACTGAATCTTTTTTTAACAAAGGAAATGACGTAATCTATGAGCTGACAAAGAACAAGGACCAGGAACTCCGGGTTGAGCTACAAAGTTTTGACGGCGCTGAGGCATACGCTCAGTACTCCACATTTTATGTCGGGGATGAAGACATTAAATACAGACTCACTGTGTCGGGGTATTCAGGAACTGCAGGTATATGATTTTACACATCTCACGCTGTTACATGATGTTCAGGGCATCTGATCACAATTGCAGAGTTATAGTTATATTGAAACGGTTGAAATGATAGGAAACATACAGCATTTTTAGTTTAATATTTAATTTCCTTATCATTATGACAAATAAGAATATAAATTAATTGATATTTCTAAATCTAGGATTATATCAAATCTATAGGAGTAATTTGTCTATTTGAAATTAAAGGGAAACCCTTTATTGCCTTAAAACACAGCAAATAATTACTTATTTCATTACAGAAGTAGACTTTTCATAAACATGTACATAATATATTTGTACACCACAAATATTTTGATACAGATATTATTCAGAAATATAACTATGAAAAGTAATGAATATGATTCCTATATTAAAACACTTAAATGTATTAATAAAATCATAATCGCTTGATCATTTTTTTTGGAATTCCCCTCAGAAATGAGGATAGCGTTAATATAAATATGGATACAGTAGACGACAGTCTTATTCCTGAAGTTATTTTTTACCCTGATAAACATTAATTGTTTTTGATAAGCAATAAATTTTAATATTATCAATACTCTGTTTTAGGTGACAGTTTGGATTATCACAGTGGTAGTGAATTTAGCACAAAGGATCAGGACAATGACAGTAATGGTGGTGACTGTGCTACATCATGGCACGGAGCCTGGTGGTACAACTCCTGTCACAACTCAAACCTTAACGGACAGTACGCCCAGTCTGCTCTGTCTGATTATAAATACACGGTATGGACACACTGGAAAGGAAAGGAAGCATTACAACAGACTGTTATGAAGATCAGGCACAAAAACTAGAGTCGATATTGGTTTAATCTTGACATGTTTATAATAATTTTGATATTTACTATCATTAAACAGATTGTATAAACAACTTAATGTCATTTACTTACCTCAGTACATGTATATGACATGTATTTCTGTAAAATAAGCAGGTACATTCCGCTCCTACTCAGAACAATATCTGTAATAACAATTATTTGTCTTTTAAATATAAACAATTCTATGTGCCTTTTTGCCTAAATGAATAAAGCAAATATAAGCATATATAATGAATAAATTGCAAATAGAAAACCCAGACTTTATTGTGCGCTAGTAAGGTAGAGTGAAGATTAGATACAAAAGCTACTAATTTAAATACCACATATAAAGGTAATCTTTTTCTACTTTGTAACTAACCATTTTAAAGCAAATAATGATATAGAATATGTAAATCGTGTATTAAAAAAAATCAATGGAAATTAAACGAAAAAAATTAAATCGAAATTTTAAAACAGACTATGAATTGGAAAAATATATGCTTGTGATATTCTCTCTCTCTCTCTCTCTCTCTCTCTCTCTCTCTCTCTCTCTCTCTCTCTCATTTTTCCAGTTTCTACATATCATATAGTCTTTGATGACATTTTCATAGATAGTTTGACTCTCCTTTGTTGCCGACAAACAATCCTTAATTACGTTTACAGAAAGCAATGAAAAGCACTGACTAATCCGATATGAACAAAATACGTCAGAGTTTGACGATTAGAAGGAAATCGAACAAGCATTCAGAGAGTATTGCATTAGCAATACTAGTCCCCTACCGGCAAGTGTAATCAAATTTAAAATGTAAAAGGTTAGGATAAAGAACAGTTAAGTTAACAGCTATATTACCATGGTAACACATGGAACATATCCTGACTAGATTTGACAAATAATTTGCAATTTCGAAAGGTCACCCATTTAAAATTTAGTTCCTTATCTCTTTAAATTCAGAATTTTCAACATAAAAATGCCTTCATTTGTTTGTGTAGTGCTGAAATAATTTATCTCAATTTTTTCTTTCATTGGGTGTGCAAATGTACAAATATTAAATTGAAACACAAAATAAAACGTCAGTGTTCATTATAATGGAATGATAACAATGCATGGAAATACTGACTGAAAAGTCAACAAAAAATCAGGAGCGGAATTCATAAACACTCTTAGATTTTTCTTAAAAGTTATATTTAAGTGCTAAAAAATTCGTAGCTAAGAAAAAAATGAAGTTGCAATTCATAAAAGTTCTAAGATAAGTTTTATTCTAAGAAAAATGACATACTTTATACTTAAATTTCATGTACAATGAAATATATGGAGATATAACGAACAGTATTCAAGCTCAAAAGTCAATTAAACATTACAAGATAGGAGCAGAGCAAACACGGACCTCCAAAACATCAGAGGTGGGATCAAGTGCCATGGAGGAGTGAGCATCCCCTGCCGACCGGTCACACCCGCCGTGTGCTCCTTGTCATGATCGGGAAATAACGAAAAAATCCGTCGACAATTCAGTGTGTAAATAATGGCCTAACAATTAGTATGAAAAACGCCAGTCAGCATTTGACTCAATGATAAATTGTATTTGCTGACAAGGTCATAGTATCGACCATAGAACTTAAGAAATGATGACTTTAAACGAGACTGCTGATATTCTAGTTTCATCAACTTGTTTGTCAATAATTTACCTCGTTTTAGAAATTGTACATACGTAGAGCATGTTCTTGCGTATCGAATCAACTGAGAGATATAAACCCCGTATGCAGGTGATGAAGGTATGTTGCTGCATAAGTAAGGGAAGTTGACGATTGAAAAGTTAAAGTCATCACGTTTATCATAAAGCTTTGTTGTTAGATTACCATTAACGTCTTTTTCAAGTAAAATATCCAAATATGAAACAAATGTGTCAGACTCTGTAGTATCTTTTATCTCAAGCTCACTGGGATATATCAAATCGACATAAGAATGGAAATAACCATTGTTAATTGACAATACGTCGTCGATGTATCTAAATGTCGAGTTGAAGGCCACAGGAAGTGTTTTCTTCTTTTCACGTATCAGATTTTGGACAAATTCTGCTTCATATGAATACAAAAAAGGTCTGCTAATAACGGGGCGCAATTGGTACCTATGGGAATTCCAATAGATCGTTGGAAGACCTGGTCTCCAAAAACCACATAGATATTGTCAATCAGAAACTCAAGCATCTTTTTAATGTCAACTTCAGAGTACTTGTGTGTACAATCAGAATGTTTTTCAACAAAATAATTTTGCAAATGACCAATGACAAGGTAAATAAATTTACGAGTTCCAATTTTATTGAAAAGGCAGCTGTCAATGATATCAAAAAGCCTGTACTTTAATTTATCGTGGGGAATGGTTGTGTATAAAGTTGAAAAGTCGTAAATTTTTAAGCTGTTGATTTTGGTAAACTCTTGTGGTTTCAAATTTTCCAAAAGTTCCTTGGAATTTTTAAGTACCCACATCTGATTTACGCCACTTCTCAAATATATTGTTGCACAGTACTCTTGAAGTTTCTCCTTCACTACTGTTAATATCTTAGTAAAGAAAGAGGCTTGGTTGAACATTTACTGGAACCCGCTATGTATCTTTGTTTGTAAGGATGTTTATGAAGTTTCGGAATCCAATATAGATATGGTAATTTGAATTCATTTTGGTTGTTTGGAATGTTAAAAATATTCAAAGCTGACATATGATTTTGAAGAATTTCTTCCTTAGAAAGGGAACTATGAGTATAAGTTGGATTAACACTTGTAGAATTAAATCCAAGTTCCTCTAAAATACATTTCATATAATGAGCCTTATAAACAAAGACAATGTTGTTACCTGCTTTGTCAGCAGGAACCAGTACGTACTGATCATGTAATCTATCTATTTCTTTTTTCACTTCTGGATTATTGAATACAGAAGGATAGGTGTTTCTCATATTGCCCCTCAATCTTTACATGCGCGATTTTAACATACATCTGATTCATTTAATCTATTCTGACAAAGTGTCAAAGTGTCAATTAATCTCTCTATGAAAAGAATACCAGCTGAATCTAATCTAAACGTCCCCACAAGTTCAGTATCACTGTATACTACTTATCAATCCTTTCTTTCCCTAAAAATCGTCTCTGTGTGTAATCTAATGGCAGCCATTTTCATTCAGTACTTAAGGGGACCGACTGGGGTTTTCATTGCGCAATATTTTGCGCAGCATAGTAAAATAAAGCGTATTTACTCTTTTAAAGCAACTATTTTTACATAATTTATAGAAATAACAAATTTTGGAAATTTCAGGATAAAAAATCTAATTACGTTTTTAAATAACTGATTTTTTAAACGATTTTTCAAATGATGGGTAGATAGACGTCGTAATAGTGTGTTTTTGACGTTATGAATAACCGAAGTTTTTTAAGCGGGGTCATTAATTCTGACATAAAATAAAAAGTATAAAATAGATGCTCTTGAAATTTTAAACATAGGAAATTGAGAATCTCACAATCATCTTAATTATTTTTTATGTAAATCTGTGGTATCTGTCATGTTTTGTTGTACTCCATAAAAACAGGAAAGTATCATGCATTTTGACATTTTGAGATGCCCCTTCTGGAAACCAGACGGTAGAATTTTGTGTTTTTTCAATAAACTTGTACAATATAGTATTACTCCTCAAATAATATAATTTGAACAAAAAGTCTATAGTAGTATTTGTATAATTTGCTCCGAAGTGTGAAAAAATAGTGTTTTCCTATATAATCCTATAGTAAATGTACATGTATTTTGAGATGGTCCCTACAAAATAACCAGACGGTAGATTTTCACTAAACTTGGCATGTATACTGAAGTCAATATAAGGTACATATGGTATAAAATTAAAGAGTTTCTCTATAGTAGTTTTCACACAATAAAACCCCAGTCGGCTCCCTTAAGTTTTTCTTCTAACTTTAAGATTACTATCTAGTGCTCTTAGATTTAAGAACTATTTAAGAATCTAATAATTTTCTTAGACTTTAGAAGTTTAATGAATAAAACTTAAGATTAAAACAAAGTCTTAGCGTCACTTAAGTATTTTTATTGGATTAAGAAATTTCTTGCACTTAATTTCATTTTAAGAATGTTTATGAATCCTGCTCCATGTGTAAATTTACAGAAAATCAG